GGCTCTGTGGACCCACAGAGTCCACAAAGGCTCCTGGTCTCAGCTTCCAGAAGTCTAGAGATTCATAATGCCACCCTGTTCATTCACTACATATCCCCCCCAAGCACCTGCCGCGTGCCAGGTGTGGTGCTAGAGGTGGACACATCCCTGTCCCCACGTCGCTTTTGGGAAGCCAGGATGACCTATGTCAGGCTGGGCCGGCACGCCCTGGGTGCCGAGCGGCCCAGACCTGACTCGGGAGGTGGCTTCCTGGGGAGGAGGTGCCCGTATTGGGGCCTGAAGCCAGGGAGGCCAGAGGCTGGATGGAGGCTCGGGCGCCGCGGCCCTGGCTGCCATCGGGACTGTTCTAGCACCTTCTGGCCTAGCCCCCTCCAGCCTGGGCCCTCCATCAGAGGCCCTGGTCCCAGTAAGTCTCTGATCAAAACCCATATGGGTCTGGGGTGTCCGTGAGTGGTGACCCGGTTGGAACTGGCCTCAATGCCTGTAATGGAAGGTCAAAACGAATAGAAACTCAGTTTGGGGTTACTACTTCACAAGGTCGGGTGATGTCTGTCTTCAGCAGGACATAGCATAAACTGGTGTGTGTCGCTCATCTTTGGCGTGTAACAAGCCGCCCCATGTCTTCCTGACTACAACAGTTTCTCATTTCTCACGGCGTGCAGGCAGCCCCTGTCTCTTCTTGCCCAAGTGTGCACGTGGCCATGGGACTGGGGTCCCTGTCCCAAGTGTCCAGCCTCAGCTGGGAGGGTTGCGGGCCATGCCTGTCCCTCTCGTGAGCTTTTATCCTGGGCTTGGTCTCAGTGTGGTGGCCTCTGGCTTCCCAGATGTGAGGGTGGAACCACCAAGCTGCTCGAGGCTGACAAGCCCCCAGCCAGCCTGGGTTCCTGGGCAGACACAGGCTGGGCCTTCCGACTGGAGCAGATCCACAGAAACTTGACTCGCCGGACCCTGTAACTACCGTGTGACTTCCCTCGGCTGGCGTGTGGACACTGTCTGTGGCTTCCAGGGGACCTGCCACCTGGAGGCTCTTGAGACCAGCACCTTTGTCTCTGGCCTTGCCTCTCCGCCCCTTTGTGCTAGGAAATGGTCGGGTCCGCTGAGCAGACAGCACCCCAAGACAGTCTGGGCTGCCATGCCAGCCCATCCCCTGGTACATCCGCACGTCCCTCCATCTGTGCATCTGGTCAGAAACATGAAATCCAGGGTGGCGGTGGCCCCTGCCCCGTGGCCATGCCCCGTGGTCCTGAACTAGAACTAGTGTCACAGGGACCTACTCTGGCTGTGAGGAGGCTGGGAGGGCACGCTGGGTGCCGTCAAGAGCTGAGTCATGCGGGTGTCTTCGTTTTCAACCCCTGGGGACCCAGTGCATCGGTGGGCTGGTTGATGCTCCGCGAGAGGGGCACCCACACCCACCTGGCTCTGTGTGGCCGTGGATAAGTCACTCGACCATGTGGTGCCTCGGTTTATCTGTGAGGTGGGGGGGTGGTGGTCAGACCGCATTGGTTAGGACCAGGCTCTGCTCTAAGCACAAGAAACCCCCAATCACAGGGCTTCGGTCATACAGAAGCTAGTTTCTCTTTATGTTAGGGATGAACGGGAGATCCAGGTGCGGCGCAGTGCCCCCAGCTGTCCCGGGCCGGCGGGGGGGTCCCCACGGCCGTGGGGATCACGTGCCAGCCATGTTCCAGGGAGGCAGGGGGAGGAGGGCACACGAGATTCCTCACACCCTGTCCTGAACTTTATCTGTGGCGTGAATGCTGGAGCAAGATTGTGTGCTCGCCAGTTCTGGGGGCACGGGGGTAGGGCCCGGGCTGGGGGCTGAGGGGTCCCAGGAGAAAATCAGGAACCCCCTGGCCACCCCTCCAGCAAGCCTGCGGCTCTGGGGGATGGAGCTGCAGGCCCAGCTGGTGAGGCAGTCAGAACAGAATCTGCCAACGCAGAAAACCTCTCCACAAAAGTCACTGAATAAGGATTAAACCAGAGCTCGGTGCTCGTCACCCCCGTCACCGGCAGCCGCCCCATCCGCAGGGTTCTCCAGGGAGGGCACCGGCCACGCACGGGACCTGGCTTTGCTCATTGCCTTTTTCTGGGGGAAAACCACACTTGTCCCCTCTTTAGGGCCAGAAGTAGGCTTGCCGGAGTCCCTGTGCGTGAGGCTCCTACGCTCCCAGGAAACTGGGAACTCAGAGAGGTGGCTCCCGGCTGCTCGGGGGTCTAACTGGGTTGTACAACTGGCCAGAGGCTTCTTTAGCTGTCAAAGAGATGGACGCAAAAAGAGGTAGGGAAAGAACTTACATGTTTTCTAAAGAGAATGTGTTAAGAAAAGGGAGGAGAAAATCTGTTCCTTTTTTCTGCACCTGGGAGTATTAACGTTGTCTTATTTCTCATGTGCATTTGCCTGTGCAGGCATCCCTGCCCACCACTACTCAGAGCCCAGGTGAGGGGGCTCCGGGCCTTCCTGAACAAAAACGTTTGGGGAGCGGGGCGTCTCTCGAGAGCCTGCATTTCCAACCAGCCCCCCCCCGTGAGGTCTGAGCTGCTGCTGGGGACGTCAGCGTTTGCATCTAGGCCCTGCCGAGTGTTGGGGGAGATGGGACGGTGTTTCTGTTGCAGCCCCTCGAATGTGAGCCCCTGGCAAAGGAGGAGGAAGGGGCCAGAGCTGTCGGAAGTTCTCCCAGAGAGCCCTGGGAGATTCTGGACATGGTCCCAGTGAAGGCAAGAGGCTGGGAGACCTCCCCTGAGTGGGCTGTGGGTGAAGTGAGGCGAGGGCACCACAGGACCAGGAGCCCCACTGCCTTGCCTGGGTGGGGGGGTCCTCACAGCAGCGAGGCTTCCAGGGCTCCTAGGAAAACAGGAAGTCGGGGATTTGGATGCCCCTTGAGGAAGCACAGGTGGCTACAGACCCTGAGTCTCCCAGCTCAGGGGTGTGTCCAACACCTCGGGTGTCGTGTCCAATAAGGTAGCACTTTGAGGCCTGACCCTCTGTGAGCACCTTTGTATGGTCTCTGCTCTCTGGAAACAAAACCTTCCCTCGTTTCTGCAGAACATGCAGATGCAAGCCTGCACAAACAAAATGGGCTTCCCTCTGCTCTTGCTATCTCTTCCAAATAATAAAATCTTAAAAAAAAAAAACAAAAACAGATTTTATGTACTCATTAGTTCACGAGGGGACCAATAACATGTCACAGCTGGTTCCGAGGAGGATTCAAAGAGCAGATGCATAGACAGCTCACCCTTGAACAACGCAGGGGTGAGGGGCACCAACCCACCCCCCACAGTTGAAAATCCACTTACGACTTTTGACCCTCCCCCCCCAAAAGCTTAGTACTAACAGCCTGCTGGTGACTGGAAGCCTTGCCGATAACATGAATGATCAGGCAACACATATTCTGTGTGTCGTGTGCATTGTGTGCAGTGTTCTTGCAGTAAAGTAAGCCCGAGAAAATAAAATGTCAAGAACATCGTAAAGAGGAGGAAATGTCATGCTGTCTTATATTTATCGGGAAGAAATCCGCAGGTAAGTGGCCCTCTGTAGTTCAAACCCATGTGTTCATGGTCGAGGGAACAGTTGCAGAATGCTGGAAGGAACTTGCTCTCCTAACGGGTACAAAGCTGGCTTCCTCTGCAGAGGAGGGGGGACCACGTGTGGTCACATGTGTAGGGACAGGAGCCCGTGGCCTTGCTGTTGGTCACCTAGAGGCCCCGCAGAACCAGCCGGGGGCTCTGCTGTGCACCGTTTGGAAGACACCTGCGATCTTTGTGGTCCGCTGCATCTTTCACAACGCTTCTCTGCAGAGGCTTAAATTACGATATTACCCCTTACTTTTTTTGTTTAAGATTTTATTTATTTATTTGAGAGAGTGTGCATGCACGCGAGAGAGAGAAAGAGAGAGAGAGAGCATAGAGGCAGAGGGAGAGGGAGAAGCAGACTCCCTGCCGAGCAGAGAGCCCAACGCAGGGCTCGATCCCGGGACCCCGAGACCATGACCTGAGCCGAAGGCAGACGCCCAACCGACTGAGCCACCCAGGCGCCCCAGCCCTTACTTCTTGAAACCAGTTTGTTGAGCAAGCAGAACTGTGCGCAAATCAAGGACCGTAGGCCGGCCTGGTTGTGATCCCCGCCCCCCACCCCCATCCCTGCTCAGGCAGCTCCAGGACCGTCGTGATCACGAATAAGTACGAGAAAGTGCTAGAACTTTAAATCTCAAGTCTCAACGTGGTAATTAAAATTGCCAAGTCCCAGATAAAAACGAACACTGAACACCTCTCCAGGCGAAAATGCCTTTCGTTTTGCTTGCCTTCAAGGAAGGAATGTGCTCAGCTCATCTCTTCCAACCTCCCAGCTGGGGGGCTGCAGCCAGGCTTGCGGGAGGGGAGGTCCGACTTCGTGCAAGGGGCTGCCTCTCTCTCCCCCTCCTCCCCCTCCTCCTCCAGTTAGGACATCCCCCTACTACCCTCCAGTTCCCAAGATGAAGCCGTGTCCCCCCTCCAGCCACTGGTTTCTGCAGATGAGGTGGGGGATGGGACACCAACAGTCCTTTCCGGAGAAAGGCACCCCCTCTCTCCAGCCTTTTACTGCCCCCCCACCCACAGGAGGCCCCTTCCTATTTCCTTGGGAAGTCTGCATGCGCTCTGGTGTGGTGTGGTGGCACCTTGTTTGCATTTCCAAAGTGAAGTGTGTGTTTTCAGGTGGGTTCCACACACACGCACACGCACACACAGGTGCAGGGAGGCCCACCAGTGCAGAGCGGATGCAGAGCACAGGGCCCACGAGATCCTCTCCTAGAGATGTGTCCTCATCCGTAAACTGGGTACCCGCCGGCCCATCGTCGTGTGGCAATATGGGGTGGACTGAGCTGAGCCGGCGAGGGGCTGGGTCCCTCTGATCCCCCTGCTGGCCCCACCCCATCTGTCACAGACAGGCCACCACGCAGGTGTGATTGGGAAACATTTATTGCTGTGTCGGCACAGGCCGGCCCCGAGTCGCAGCCACGCCAAGCTCACTCCTCCTTCTCGTCCCCGTGGGTGATGATGTAGCACAGAGACTTGTAGTCGATGTCCCCTGCCAGGTCCATGGGCGTCAGGGCGAACATCTGCTCCACCTGGGCAGGGGGGGGGGCGTGGTAACAGGCAGCCCCGCAGGGAGGCCTGGGGTGGCCAGTGGCCGTGCCTGAGGGAGACCTGTGACCCCTCACCCTGTCACCTGACTCCCAGCGCCAAACCCCAAACTCCAAGTTACCTCTGGGCAGGTGAGGGAGACGGGGGTGGAGGGTGGGGGTCTGAAGGGGGCTGTGGGTCGGAGGGCCCACCTCCGCCATGGGGTACCTCCATCTCCTCTCTGCGCTGCCCTGACCCTGCACGTACAGAGCCTCTTCCAAACGCGGGAGGTGCACTCTCTCATCCCGGGCCTTTGCACACACAGCTCGCAGCCTGGCACACCCTCCTCCCTTCTGACTCCATGCCCTTCACCCTCTGGGGCTCGACGGAGGTGGTCCCACACAGCCGTGCTCCGAGCCCACGAGGGTGGTGGGTCACCAAGGCCTGCCCAGTGCCCTGCGGGGCAAGGGCCCTGTGAAGGGTGGGGAGGGTGTCGAAGGAGTCGGGAGTCCTCACCTCAGCCAGAGAGAACTTGTCTGCCTGGGTCAGGAGAAGCTGCTTGAACCTGGGGAGAGCCAAGGGGTGGCCCGATGCGGGGGGCGGTGAAGGCTCCCCTGGCCCAGGCGGCCGCCCTCCCCAAGGGCCTCCCCGCGGTTTCTGCATGGTGCCCCTTCCCGCTGCTCACACTTACTCATCCTTGTTCACCACCCCCTTGCCGCTGGGGTCGAACATGCGGAAGGCGCTCAGGATGGCTTCCTCCGGGTCTGTCCCTGGGAACCCGGGGGAGCCAGGTGAGCAGCCGTGCCCACCCAGGAGGACCCTAGGGTGCAGGGGGCCCGCCACGTCCCAGAAGAGGTGGGAGGGTGTTTCCTGATACAAAGTGTCCCTTGGGGCTCAGGGAGGCCAAGACCAGCTGTCCTTGTGGGCAGGCCTGGCCAGGAGACTGGGATTTGGGATTTGGGATTTGGGAGGGAGGCCGAGTCGGAAGTCGGGGTGACCGGTGCCCATGGGTCTGGGAGGGAGGGGAGAACCCCACAGGCTCTGGGTGGACTAGTGCCAGGGAGTGTCCAGTTGAGGTCTGGGTGGGGCTCCGTCAGATTCCAGGCTGGGGGGACCCAATCCAGCCCAGGCTGACCGTTCAGCTTCTCCCCAAAGAGCGTGAGGAAGACGGTGAAGTTGATGGGGCCCTTTCCCTCCTGCAGCATGGCATCCAGCTCCTCTTCTGGGACGCTCACCTTCCCTGGTTGGGGGTGGGGCATGCCATGGACATGGGGCCTGCGGGGCCCAGGCCGGCCTCCCCTCCTTCTGGGCCGTAGCGGGTGGAGAAGTGTGAAGTGATGGGGAGCTGTGACCAGTGGGGGAGGAGTGTGTGTGCACGGAGACCGATGGGGAGGGAGGTGTGAGTCGGGAAGGGGGAAGGCGGGCGCTGCCTGGTGGTGGGGGGGCTGTGCTTTCTCAGTGGGCCTCCCACCAGCTAGCTGAGCCAGAGCGGCTCCCCTGGTGTGAGCAGGCCCCATAAGCAGGGGGAAGGCAGAAGCACTCACCGAGCTGGGAGTAGGTCTCCCGAAGGTCTGACTTGCAGATAATGCCATCCCGGTTTTGGTCGATGCAGCTGAAGGCCTGCGAGGTGGGGAGCACAGCCTCCAAGTGGGAACAGCCCCCACCCCAGGGAAGGCCGGAGGTGGGGAGGGGTCCTGGAGGGCAGACGGTGGAGCAAGGACAGGGGCCAGGACCACTGACTACAGAGCAGAGGGGGTGTATGCAGGGTGGGATGCCAGCACCGGTCCCAGGCCATTGGGGGTGGGGCACTCACTTCCTTGAACTCCTGGATCTGGGCTTGCTCGAACATGGAGAACACATTGGAAGAGCCTCGCTGGGCCTGCTTGGTGGCCGCGGCCTTGCCCCGGGTCCCTGCCTTCCTGCTGGCCTGCAACATTGTCGGTGGGGAGAGGTCCTCTGCCCGGCTCCCCAAAGACTGCCCCCTTCCCATGCACACCCCCTGAACATTCCCAGGAGAGCCTAGGTCAGGGTCCTCTTCCTACCCCTGGAGACTAGCTCTCCAGGCCCAACGCAAGCACAGAAGTCCCTGGCTCTCTTCCCCCAGCCCACGGGACAGCACCTGGGAGCCTGCTGGCCTCTGGCTTCCCCACCGGGCACTCACCATCCTCTCTCTATGGCAGCCGGGTTGCTGCAAGGGGCCCCCAGCCCCTTTTATGTTTCAGCCTTATCACCTGCGTGCCAAATAAGGACAGGAAGAGAGGACAGGCCCAAACTTGGCAGCCCTGCCTGGGCTGGGGGAGGACAGGGCCCCAGGCAGATTCCAGCCACGTTCCTGGTGACCTTCAGGCCCCCTGATGTCTAACATCCAGGCATCCACCCATCCAGCAGCCACGGCTCCCAAGGGCAGAGCTCACAGCCTCACAGCTCTCGCCACTCTGGGTGCTGAATGAGGTAGCCCCCTGAATGAGAAGTCTCCCCTGTGACCCCCATCTGACTGTCCCTCCTGCAGGTCCAGCCCAGAACCCGCCCAGTCCAAGAGGACGGCGTTCGGAGGGCTGGCCTGGGGCCTCTGTTGGGCTTGGGAAGGGCAGTGGGTGGTTCTGAAGATGGTCTCTGGCCTGAGACCCCCAGGGATTCCCAGAGGTTTGGGTGGACGGTGGCCCTGGCCTCTGACAAGAGGGGCAGAAGGCAGCCGTGAGCTAGTCGTGGCCCCAAACAGAACCTGTGTGTGAGGCTTTTTGGAGTACAGTGCACAACCTGGACCCCAAGGAACCCCCTGGACCCCCATGAAAGTGGTCATGAGCCCTTCGTGTGAGGCTCTGCTGTGCAGCCAGGGGTCAGACACCCTCTGTTCTGCCCGGGCTGCAGGCTTGCCTGCTCCTTTAGGGCCCGGAGAAGGGCTGGGGGCCTTCTAGAACTAACGTTGTGGGCCCACTGGCTGCCCACCCTCCCTCCCCCAGAACCTGGCTCTGCACGGCTGCCCCCTGCCCCGGGGGGGGGGGGGGGGGCGGAACAAATGCAGAGACCAGCTGGTAGAGCCAGAGTTTGCGTGGTGCGTGAGACCCAACGTCCCTTGTGTAACAAAAACAATACCTCCTTTACTCTCCTGAAATGAAATTCATGCAATCTATAACCCACCCACAGAGAGAACTTAAAAAATCAATAGGATCCTCTGAACTGCAAGGAAAAAAAAGACTAGAATTAGTTTACGTCAAAACGGGATCCAACACGAGCGCCGAAACACGAGTACTGCGGATGAAGTAACCGGATGCTCGCACAACGTTCTCATGCATAATTTAGATTCAAGAGAACTAAAAAGATCTGACCCGATCCCACAGGAGACACCCGGAAAAACGAGGGAACATCTCAGACCCGTGGCTCTGGGTTAAGTTCTGAATGAAATAACAGTCGTTCCGGCTTTGTTGGGTAGTTCCTCTCACTGAAGAGCAAGCGTATGTTCTAACTCTACAGACGTGTGGACGTGTAACGGGGCGCGGCTGAGAGATGGCGCCAGGTCCTCGGCTTGGCTAACTCTGAGTAGGCTCGTCACCCAGAAGCATCTGGAAGGACCTCAGCAATCACATGACTTCGTGTATCCCTCTCCCCCGCCCATCACTGTCACAACCCAAGTGGCTCCAGGGGGCCTGTTGCACTTCCCAGAGCAGCACCCCGGCCCCCAACTCCTTCCCAGGCACTCCCGGGGGCAATCAGAGCCCACGGGTCCACACGCACATCCCACATTCGGCGAGCCGGCGCGTTCGACCACCCTCCCGCCGATGCCACCTCTATTCCTACAGCCCGAGTGTCCCTTCACACTCCCTGGCACAGGTGGCCGGAGGGGATGGAGAATTCCGAGACACCCAGGCTTGCAAAGCATCTGTGTGCCTGTGACCACGTCTCCATATTGTCCCACGGCCCTTATGCACAGAGATCAAAGAACACCCGTCAACGCCATGTTCTAAACTTTTAAAATGTTTACTTAAAAAACCACACAGTCCCAGGTTGGGCATGAGAGGTTGGTGTGGCACACAGAGATCTGGTGAGGAGAGAGAGGCCTGGGTGGCCCCTTGGGTGCTGAGTGCTGACGTCTCTTTCTAGGCCAGCCCTGTGGGAGCTGAGGCCTCCCCCACGGAGGTGCTCCCAGGCCTGCCTGGGGGTGGGAGGGGGAGGTCCTCCTCATCCTGGGTCCCTCTGGGCAGGCAGGGGCTCTGGGGGCTCTGTGTCTTGCACCACCTGGGAGGGTCCATCCCAGAACCACAAACCACTCATGGATGGTGGCAGGGGAGCAGAAAGGCTACCAACTCCATGCCTCAGGGTACAAGCACTCTCCGCTGTGGCATTTCCCAGTCCCCACCAGGCAAGAAAACAGCCAGGCCTGGGTGACTGGCAGCCTCTGGCCCCCTGTGGAACCCCGGTGTAGGTCTGGCCAGGTCAGCTGGGCTGCCTCCCCAGTGGGTTGAGTTCCCAGGCAGGAGCAGGTTCCAGAGCACAGCCCCCTCCCAGAGCAGGGCCCGGAGAGGCCGAGTCAAGCTGAAGGCTCCCAGAGGAGACAGTGCGGAAACGCAGCCAAGTCCTGAGTGAGCAACTCCCTTCTGGGTCCTTGATTGCAGTCAGACAGGTGAGGGGCTCTGGGGGTCTCCACGCCTGCTCACCTCAGCCCCCAACCCAGTCAGGGCCCTGGGCTGTCCCACCAACCTCTGAGAGGGGAGGTCTGCCGAGGGGGCCCCAAATCCCCCGCGGGCCTTTCCCCACCTTTCGGGGTGGCAGTGGGGATGGGAGACATCCAGGGTCCTTACAAAGAGACCTCTTTCCTGGGTGAGGCTGGGGCACCTGTGGGGAGCGAGTCCCCTGGGGCCCAGGTCCAGCGAGCCACTGCCGCCTCCTTGCCTGGTGTCCTCCGCTGTCACTGGCCCAGCATGCAGGCCTTCTTGCAGGCCACCGCCGAGATCAGGGCCGCGCCCCGGCCGCTGCCCTCCTCCGACTCGATGAAGGTGATCTCGCAGCTGGGCGTCAGCCTGCGCACGCTGGCGTGGAACCTCTCCTTGAAGCTGCGCAGGGGAAGCGGGGCTGCGTCCCTCGTCACTGCTCTCCCAGACCGCCTCCTCCCCGCGCCGCAGCGCGAGGAGGAAGCCCAGGGGGCCCGCCCTCCTCCTCCTCCTCGCTGGGGGCCCAGAGGGGACGAGGGGCTAGCCCCGGGACCTCGGAGAGCTTACTTCCGCTTGCCCTTCCGTCCTCGGACGCGCACCCACGACGGGCCCCTGGGCCCGATGGGGAGGGCGGACGACCCCGCGGGCTCACCTGGGGTGCAGCTTGTACACGGAGCCGTCCACGCCCACGGTGATGCGCATCACGTCCTCGCTGCGGCTCTCGCGCATGCGGTTAATGACGCCCGCCAGCCCCGCGGCGCACATATGCGCGGCGCGCGTGGACACGCTCTCGCAGGCGCGGCGCACGATGTCGCAGTCGGTGGCCGAGGGCCGCAGCCCCAGGGTGCTCAGGATGTTGTAGATCTGCTTGCGGTCGCCCGAGTCGCTGTGGGGCGGGGGCGGCCGGGGGAGGGAGGACGTCGTTGGAGGGTCGCTCGGCCCCCGGGCCAGCCCGACCCCGACGGCGGCGGCCTCTTCCCCTCCCCCTGCCCACCTCACCCAGACAGAGCGCTTGGGGCTCGGGCTCCGGAGGGGAGCGGGTCCGATTCCGCCAGGGACCAGCAGTTAGCTGGTCATCGCGCCTCTCTCTAAGCCCAGGGTCTCCGCTCTAATGTGGGCGACACCGGCGCGCCAAGGGGCTGTCGCGTGAAGTGAGGCGATGTCCACGGCGGCGGGGAGCCACGGAGGGGACGCGTGGGCTGCGGCAACCGCCAGGCTGCGGGCTCCCCTGCGGGCCACGCGCCGCCCCGACCCTCGCTCCGGCCCCCGCCCGGGGCCCCGCCCCCGCCCGCGCCCCGCCCCCGCCCACGCCCCCTGCGTCCGCGCCGCAGACCCCGCCCCGTGCACGCGGCTCCTCCCCGGAGCACGCCCCCCGCCCCCCGCGCACGGCCCCCTAGACACCGCCCCTCGCCCGGCGCGCCCAGCGCACCTCTCCACCTGCGACACGAAGCGCGTCTCGAAGGCGCCGCGCGTGCGCAGCTGTTCCGACGCCTCCCCGCGGAAAAGCAGGTTTTCGTCCACGAGTTTGAGCAGCACGAGCCGCACCAGCTCGCCCATGTACTTGCCGCCGATGAGCTTCTCGTACCTGCACACAGGGCGGCCGGGTCATCCCCGCCATGGAGGCCCCCACGCGCGGCCACGAGGAGGCCAGGTGGGGCACTGTGACACCCCGCTTGCAAACTTGGGTTCGTGCCGGTCCCCTCATTTATCGGCCAGGATTTTAGGATTAGGAAGCGCTCTGGGGCCTCAGGACCGCACCCTGCCCTACTGCGGGGCGTCGGTGCGGGCTGCGCGCCGTCCTCACGAGGGCCCTGCGCTGAGCCCACTGCGTCCTCCCACAGCCGCGTGATGGGAGCTGTTCTCGTTGCCCCGGATGGCTGGGAAACCAAGGCTCAGAGGGGCTGGGGCCCTGCCTGGGGCCCTGGGCGCCTGGGCTCCGCCATCTAGCGCTCGCGTGTGTCACATATGTGAGCCTCTGCGTTTTCATCTCGACGTGCACTGAATCCCACCGACCTAGCGGAGGTTTGGGAGCTGATGAAGGGATGACACGCGCCCGGCAGCTAGGCGGTTAATTAGGATAGCCACGACTCAGGACGAGCTCTGTGCGGGCTGGGTCTCAAGCTTTCAAGCCGTTCAAGCCAAACCGCAGCATTCCGCGAGAAACACTACTGTTCGTTCTGCGACCGTGGGCACATGTCTACTCCCGGGAACCCTGGGCTGAACCCGCTGAACGTTGCTCGGGGGTCTCAGAGCCTCCCTAGGCAGTGGTCACCTGCCGGAAGGGGGGGTGATCCCGGCCTATGTATCCACAGACCCTCTTTTTGGGGACTAAACCTTCAT